GGGGAATTTCTGTTCTAGCATCTTAACTGTGTTAACCCAGAGGTGCTATCACTGTTGCTGATGTGCTCGGCCTTGGCCAGTGGCAGGTCCATCTCGGAGCTGACTGACATGGGGGAAGCTTCTGGCACCCTCTCACAGAAGCCACCTCTGTAGCCCCCCTGCTACCAAAACCTTGCCACACAAGCCCACAACATATATGCAGAAGACTGGCGTGGCTCTGAGAAAGGACAGTGGTAGAGCAAACACTGCCCTGGTTATAATGCACCGTCAGCACCTCTGGAAGTTTCTTTTCTTATGGATGCCAACTCTTGTCAGTCAAGCTTGTGCCTGCTGCAGGTTGGTGGGTGGCAGCAAAAGATAAGAATCAGTTATTTGAGGTGGATTTTTGGATTATTGTGATACCTCTAAATGTAGATTGTGTCTATTCATGTATTTGAAACAGGATTCGTGTGTCTGGTGAGCGTATTTTCGTTTAAAAGAAAAGGGCTGAGCTAAGGGTTGTGCATGGTCTTAAATATTCAACTATAATTTTCCTGCTGTTTATTTAACTTCTACCCAGGCAATGAAGAAGAGAGGGAGAACTGAACATGGGAAATTCAAAACATGTTTGCCAGTTGCAATTTTAGCTCTGCCGTATTCCCTGGCCCTAACTTAGTATCTTTGCATAATGTACTTTATGGACTTAACAGGAGATGCAAGGCACTATCTTAACACTGCTTCGGTCCTTTGGGCTTCTAGTAAAGAAAAATTTCAAAGCCAGTTTGAAAAGTTGGAAATGGCTGTCTGGCAAAGTACATCTGCGTAAATGCTGGGATAAACCCTGGCTGGCAATATCGAGGGAATCTGCCATGAGTCCTAAAGGAGAAGAACAGTTGGGATGACATTCCCCTTCACCTCAGTTTGAGCAGAAATGCTTGTCTTGAACCTTGTACACCACCAAGGAGCTGGAGGACAGGTAGTCTGCGTGCACAGCGTGGCAACAAAGATACTGTGGTTTTATTCCGTAGACTCAGTTCTTTGACAAAATCATGAAGTAAATGGACACATTGGTGTTCGCACCCAGTTACATCAGCGACGTCCAACGTTAAACATTTGTTATTGGTAATAACTGCCTATCTATTGAAGATTTTCTTAGTCTCTTGGGCAGACTGTGTTGCACAAAAAGATGAAGTCACTTTGAATATATATTCTTTTTTTGTTGTTTTGCTTACTTTGACAAGAGGCTTTAAACCTCTGCAATTCAGGTTGTCTAGAACTCAGCATTTTTATATGGTTAAAAAGTATATGTGCAAAGGTGAATTGTTTGATTAAATGAAATGTGGCTTTATGTATATGATAATGCAATTGACTTAATTTATGAATGTTTTGTGTATAAACTGTTAATCTATTTGTTCAGATAATCTGTTATAAAACTAAATTTTCAGGAAAGGAACAGTGGGCTTTTTATTTATTTATAAATAAGCAACTGTTTTAAGCAGGAGTCCTACTTATTTCCCATAATAGTGATTGTAGGAGGGTTAAAGGTAAAAGGGAAGCAGAAAAACTGAGACTGCTTGTAAACATCACTCAAACTAGGAACGACGTCAGCTGAAATGCTCAGTATGAACCGATATCACCAGCTCTACCTCCCTTGGTGTGTAGTCGCCTTTTCACGGGCAGAACCAGTCTTTAAGCTTGTTTGCACTACAGGGCTTTGTTGCAAGATTTTTTCTAATTGTAGCTCAGGAACCTGCCTGGCCTGAGGATACTCCTGGTCTTCAGTGGTTATATGCAGACTGGGACACAAATGTCCATCCCTCCTGTGAATCTGAAAGTTTCAAAGGCTGCAGCTATTGCCCTTTGGGTGCAGAGTTGGTCACTTTTTAAACTGTTATTCAAGTAAGACATGGTGCAGTATGTTTCTACGATGCAAGGAACACGTATGCGATGCAAAATAATGTTGAAGAACCTCTCACTGTGTGTGATTCCTGTGTAATGTATTTGAATAGCTGGGTCTTGGGTAGCCTGCTGGTGATTACTGGATATCTGCCAGTCAGAGCAGCTCCTATCTTGCATTTATTATTTTAATATCATCGATGGGCGCCACAGATTAATATTTCTGAAACTTCTGTTCAGACTAAACGTCATTTCTGTCTTCATTCTGTGTTTCTAGTCTGGGACTGTGAAGCTGACCAAGCCTGTGGCATTATGGACCCAGCAGGATGTCTGCAAATGGCTGAAGAAGCATTGCCCTAATCAGTATCAAATCTACAGTGAGTCATTCAAACAGCATGACATAACTGGTAAAGTATGCACTATCAGAAATATTTTACTTACTTAAAATGTGGCAGTTGTTTTACTTTGTTGTTAATAGATTGTGACTGTGCACTGAGGGCTTTTTGTTGATTGTATGACTAGAGAGTTGCAAGGTTTAGAGCAGGGGGAATATACCAGCTTCCATAGGATGTGGTAAGTTATTTCGCCATCTCTCTAAAGATAAATTTCAGATTATTCAGGGTTAATATCATGAGGAAGGAAGTCAGTCTGTATGTGGGTAAGGGCCACACCCTGTTCATTCCAAGTAAATAAAACTCCCCCCCAAACGTTAAGAAATGTCTTATGAGGAAAAACATAAATGAATTTTTTTCATTGAGGTGTTTCGCCTTAAGTTCATATTCTTTTTTGCCTTTTTTTTTTTAAATATTAAACTTTGAGTCCATAACACGTAGGATGGGAAGCAAGCCCAACTGAGCCCCTCCCTAGGGCTGAAGCAGGATCAATACAGCAAGTTCATTTCTGACAGATGTTTGTCTAACTTTGTTCTGGAAAATTTGCCATGGAGGAGATTTATATGTCTCTCTATTCCAGTATTTTATGGTACTTAAAGTTGGTATTTTCCTAGTATCAATCTAAAGTATTATTTCCAGCCAGTGAAACTGATTTCTGTTCCAAGCCTAGCTCGAGTACAATCGTCCTTTCTTGCAGTCTTTCCTTTATTGGATAGGGGGCTTCCCACTTACACATACTTTCCTTGTCTAGTCTAAAAAATATTTGGGTTTTTTTATCATGATTTGTCCCCTAAATACCTGCAGGACCTCAAACCTTCAACACTTGATGTCTTGTGTTAGAAGAATATATTAAAAAGCATCATTGTATTTTATTTTCCTATTTACTTTACAAGTGGATATTGATTTTGTTGATCTGCTTGACTTGTTAACTCCTCCTCGGTTTGCTGTAGTGGTATTTTAGCTGACCACTTTGAACTGACATCTGTTTAGCAGAGTAAATGGATTAATATAAATACAGATGTAACTTGGGAGTTAAATAGCATTTTTAGTCATATCCCGGCTGTAAATAATTTGTAAAAAGTTTAATGATGTGGAGCACTAATTTGTTCTCTGAAGTGGTGATATACAAAACTGGGAACTGGCATTCAGCCATTTAGTAACAAGCAGAGATTTGGGTTTCACATACAAATCTCAATCTTAACAATCATGTATTGTTAGCTAACGGATGTTTCAATCAGTGTCTGTATGTATATGTGTACTTGTGGTGTTTCAGATTTTCCATGGATTCGTGTTGCTATTCTTTCCTTTCTGATAATATATGAATGATTGCAAACATGGAAACTAAACTACAGATATTTGCTTACTACGTAGCCATGAATAGGCATACACACTTACATGTGAGAGGTGGTTTGTATTGGTTTGGTGAATGTTGAGTTTTAGTACATAACCATTGTGCCCGTTTCCTCTAAGTCATCATCTCTTGAATGCAGTCCATAGGAGTGCAGTCTGTGTCTCCACCCGTGTGTACAGAGCTGATTGCATCCAGAGCACTACCAGGAAAAGATTCAAGCTATTTTAAAATTTTTTCTAGTACTATTTTACTATCATATTGTCTCTTTTTAGAATTAAGGCACTATGAGATGAGGTTGAAAGGAATAAAATGTTGTTTGCATTTCAACATAAACATTGATGGCAAACTTGTAGTTTGCAGATGTGCAAAACTTCGAACTTTACAGACCTCTGTGAAAAAGAAGAATCAAGATCGATCTTTCTTACTTTACACAAAAGACATGTAAGGAAAATATTAGTACGAGTGTTAGAAGTAAGTCTGCAGGAAAGAAAATAACTTCAATTCAGTAACTACCGAAGAAAAGAAGAAACGCGATCAATGTTTGTACGGATTTTGTGAAAGTATATTGTGATAATATTATGAGTGAAATCAATAACTCAGGAAGATATTTCCAGTACTGTTGGTCCCTGTGACTCCGGTTATTTGAAATCTAATGAGGGGATAAAACAGTGGATTTGTGGCTCAAAAAAAGTAGAGCATGAAAGGAGCATGGAAACTAATGTGAAGATTAAGCCGAGGTAGTATAACTGTTTCCAGATATGGCTATGGAAAAGTGATGTGATCATTGAAAATTTCTCAGCAATTTAAGTGACTTTACAGGCTGCTTTGATATGAAAAAATATGATGGAAAAGAACTTGAAGCAAGTGACATAAAGGATATTTAAACTTTATTTGTAGATGAAATCTAAGACATGGTCATAAGCCAGGAAAGAAGTCGCGGGCAAACACATCTTAGCAGTTGTTAACCATAGATGTTGAAAAGTGTGGCATTTTACTTATGACTGTTAGCTGCTGATTACAATTTATTGAGTGGAGGGCAAAAACGCAACCCAAAATGTCCTTTCCTTTGTGGAGATTTTATACTTTTTTACTACTCCTGACAAAGAGCAGCTGCAGATGTATAAGAAAAAAAGGCTTAATCTGGTGATTTACCTAGTAAGAAAAAAGATCTTTGTATTAACAGTGATCTTGAGGATACCATGAGACAGAGTGTATTCTCATCGGATTTGCAGATGACTCCAAACTGAGAGTAACAGTCAACAGACTCAAGAGCAGGGCTGCCATTTGTAGGCACCTAGGTGTGGGGACCAGAGCATAGGCTGGAGGAATGCGTCAACAGCAACCTTATGGAATTCAGCAAGGACAGACTGAAAGCTCTGCAGCTGGGAAGGCCGAGCCCCTTGCACCCGCTTCAGCCTGGGACTGGCTGGCTGGGGAGCAGCTTTGATGAAGAGGACCTGTGGTCTTGATAGTCAGGAAGATGAAATGAACCAGTCTTGTGCCTTGGCAGCAAAGAATGCTCACAGTATCGTGGGCAGTATTAACAGGAGCATAGCAAGCTGATCAAGGATAATTGTTATTCCCCCTTACTCTGCACTTTTTAGAGTCCAGTTCTTGAGTCTCCGGTTCTGGAACTTGCACTCCAGTGTAGGTTCAGGTAAGGGCCACCAAGATACTCAGGACTGGAGCACTTGCCCTGTGAGCAAGAGACTGAGGGAGTTGGGCTTGTTCAGCGTGGGGAAGAGGCAGCTTGCCAGGGTGGGATCGGGGGACTAGCAGCAGCCTCCAGTGTGTAGAAGGATGTTGTCAAACAGATGGAGCCAGACCCTTCACAGTGATGTATGAGAGACACCGGACTTGAGTTGAAAGAAGAGGCTGAGGCTGAACATAAGGAGAAACTTTTTCCCCATGAAGACAGTTGGGCATTGGAATAGGTTGCTCAGAGAGGTTGCACAGTCTCTGTCCTGAGAAGGTTTCAAGCCCCAGCTAGATAAAACCTTGAGAAACCTCATCGGATCTCATAGCTGACCCTGCTTTGAGCAGGAGGTTGGGCTAGAAGTCTGCTGGGGTCCCTTCCAACCTGAATTCTTCTGTGGTCCTGTGGTTTGCTGAGTACTTACTGAGTACCTCAGAACCACTGAAATGCATTCTGCAGCCGGTTAGGGAGAATTAAATACGGAAAAGTCTAATATTGGGAGGCTTTTTTTGTACACAAAATCCTTGAGTTAAGGGAGTGGAGCATTTGAATAAGTTGACTTATTCATCAACAGGTCAGAGGTTATTTTCATGGTGTTGAACCCAGAGCCAGAACCAAAAGAATCTGAAGGACTAATACTGAGCGAGATCTAAGGGCATGTGATAGGAATTAGCAGTGGTAGGAAAGATAAGGCAATAAAAAGGGAGAACAAAGACAACAGTGGCCTGTACAACCAAGAAAGCAAAGTAATGGTAAGGCCATGTCACCGGAGGCTCTACAGCTGGTGTTGGCATTTACACCAGCATGAGGGGACATAAAAAGTTGCTCTGACTGGCCAGCTTTTTACACTTATTTTACATGAGTATAATCCAGGGGGCAAACCTGAGAAATGGACCTTGCTTTCAGTGTGCGTTTGTGGCTTTGAATTTGTCAGGCAGCAATACTTCTTAAAAGATGACTTGTTCTTTGACAGTCTTATCCTGTAGCATTGCATCAAATTAAGATTTTTGCAGTGTCTCAGCATTAACAGGAGCAACACTGGGCTAATGACTAAAGAATGACAGAGGAATAACCATGAATGACTAAGGAATAACAATTTTGGGGAAAATGGTCCATTGACAAAGTAATAAAGAAGATGTCTAAGTAACTGCTTATTGATGTGTGATTTGTTGAAAGAAGGGAAGGAAGGAAAGAAACCCTGCTTTACCTCTTGCTCTTATGCCATGTTCCCCAGCGTGCTAATGCATGTCTTCAGAGCATGAGGTTTTAACACTATGATCATTAAACAAACCTCATTCTGTCAAAGTAATACGCAAGAGGTACCTTGGTCCAAGTGAAGGAATTTGATAGGAGGTACTTGAAAGGACTCAAGCCTTTTTAAATTAAACTTTTAAGGAGGAAAGCAACAGGACTCAAAAAAACCTCTTTTTAGTTTTAGAAGGGATCAGAATTTATGAATATTCATTAGATACCAAACAGCACCTCGGAAAATTAAATATGAACTGCTACTGAAAACCTGATGCAAATAGCCTTAAAATCTGGCTAATTCTGTAAGCTCGAAAGATGTTTGCATTAAATCTACTTTATTAACATATATTTTTATGATATTCATATACAATCTTGCTTTTAAAATCTGAATTGATTTTTTTTTTCACTTCAATATTATCTTTGCAAATGTTAGGGGTTTATCGTATCAGCTGAAATGCTCAAGTTATTTAGCATGTTGGTGAAGGGATGGTCTCGTGGTTTAGTATACACTGGAATTTGGAGAAATCCTGGCTCTGTTTCAGGCTACTCTGGTATTCTTAGGAAGCACTCTGAATCCTCAGGGTCTAAGTTACTCTCTCCATACACAGAAAGGGCTTCTTTTTCTTATCAAAGTGTTGCGAGATAGCTGTCCGATTTCCAGAACATGCATAGTTTAATTATGCCCTTTGTTTCACGGAACTCAGCTGAGTTCTGTGCTGC